ATGTTTGCATTAGTAACAACAGAAAAATTTTGTAATAGGGAGTACCACAACATGGGAAATATGTTTAAAGGATCAAAATATTAAATTTTTAATGGTAAACCTGGCAGTGTAAAGTCCTAGTTTTATAAAAGCTGCTAACCTATTGTAAGATGTTAATAAATATAAGTTACTAGCCATCTTTTTAAATAAACAAGTTTGTTGGTTATAGTCAAGCTAAGTACTAATGATTAATAACGGGAATAATCCTTATTAAGTTCCCTGTATATGTTTTCAAAGGTTAAGCTTAAAACAAGTAACTGGAAACAAAGTTGTCAGATTTACCTAGGAAGACTTCTAATACCACAGAAATCTGCAGAATATGGCATTTAAAATGTTGACTGCAAAGCTTAATATATCAGACAGAGAATTCTAGATGCTGACAGTAACCCAAGGTCTCTATAAAGAAGTTTATGGGGCACCACAGATTGTGATGAAGCAGACAAGTGGGCAAGATGCTCAAATGTGACGTGTGCTGCCAGGCAAGACGTGGCTAAGACTCTGGACAGGCTGCAGGCCACTGGAAAAGTGATTGTTCCACCTTTGCTTAGACAAAATAAAGTCAGTCTTTTCCATGTCCTTCTGCCACAGAGAGAAAAAAACTCTCACCTTATTGACTTAGTGAAGATTTACTTCTGCCCCCAATGCTATGGAAACTTTGGTATGGCTAACTGTATATGGACTTGATCCTATCATTTTTTAATAGATTCAAAAGTTACATAGAATTTATCCTTCTTAGATCGATGTCAGTATTAATGGTTGGACTAGCTAAAACTTTGTCACCTTGGCAGTATCAGACCGTCTTGATACAGCTCCTAAATAAAGATCTGAGGATATAAACACATCTAAGTCTTAAGGGCATAAAATAATTTAAAATATAAATGTTCAGAGCTTACTATTTAATAAAGTTCTGATAAGGTAGTAGAGCAGAAGCTACCAAATCTTCATTCACAAGCTCAAAATTTTAAGATTTATTTTGGTTGTCATCTAAGTATAAATATAAAATGTTTCTCATCAAGTCTAAGGCTTCCTTTTCCAATCTACACCTAGATCTCTCTGGACAGTAAAATAGGTCCAATCTTCTAACTGAAATCTGAAGTTTTTAATGGGAATAAAAGGTATAATTATATTCCTGCTGTTTTACAGATACGCAATATCTGCTTTTTCTACAATGTGGACATCAGTACAGATTGATAATGATAATAAGTCTAAAACTTTTATGTTCTTTTACATAATAAAGCCGATATAGGCTTCAGAGGATCAACATTCATAAAGCTTGGATCCACCTCTCACAGGTCAAAGGGACTCCATATAAGTAAAGCTTTTGTTATCACACCTATGTGTTCCTGAGGATGGGATTTTCTCCCTGGTCTTGGGACTCCTCTCCTTCTTGATCACTAAAATTATGGATCTAAGAGTTCCCACTAAGTATATAAGTTTTAACTTCTGTTCCCAGTTTAAACAAGTCTCAACAGATTTTTGCTTCTGGCAGACAAGCATCAGTTGCTGACTACAGCCTGCTCCTGAAGATTGCTAGCCCTGGACTTGCCGTGGATGTGAACCACCCTAGCTGATTTGAGCACTTCCTGAATCTTCAACAGAGTCAGTGAAATAGATACTTCTGAATCCCATTTTTTACTTTTTTGCTTTTGACTAGCATTTCAGCCTTCTCACGTCCCCTGACAATACCCCAAAATCAGCAGGAAGTAGCACAGGAAAGAATATGTCACCCCTTTTTCCTTGTTGAGATGCTAAGTCAAAAGGAACCTCCATACTTGGAGACAAGATGATAACAGATACAAATTTATTAGCCTGTACCTCAAACTTCCCCTGAGATTTTAATTTTCAATGTCAATTTAGATTTTATTTTTTCTATAAGAAACTTCATTTAGTGGCTGAACAAAGAAGAGGCAGACTCCCTTGGTTAAGTACTGAGCTGAACTCAAGAAAGCCAGGAACAGAGAGGGAGGACTGATGATCAAAGAGATTAAGACCTGGCTGGTTTAACCCCCAGAAACAGCTGACCAGACAAAGGTTAACTCTTGAATCCCAGGCATCAGTCTGGGAATCCAGCATGGGACTGATCAAGACCCCCTGAATCTGGGTGTCAGTGAGGAGGCCTAGGGAATCTATTGAGCCTTGGGCAGCAGATCAGTACCCATCCCAAGTATGCACACGGACTTTGGACTCCCATAGAACAATGTGAGGTGCACTCTCACCCTGAACTCTTGGGGAAGGGTCTAGGCCCTGCCCTATATGAAATGACAGACTATAGACACCACCATGGAGGGCCTCACCCTCCCTGGGGGAATGAGGGGATAATGGGGGGGGTTGGGAGGAGGGCACGGGAGGAGGGGAGGGAAAGGGAGAGGGACCTGGAACTGACTTGTGAAGCAACTTTGTTTATTATCTAAATTTAAACTGGAAAATAAAATTAAAAAAAAAAGAAAGGGGGGAAATGAAGGAGCAAAAATTAAAATTAATAAAAGTTTAAAATCTTAGGCCCTGAAAAGGGAACTTCTAATGACTGTAAATGTCATGGCTGGTGCCTCAGCCCCACTCTCAAAGAAAGGGAGGTGACCCTCGACCTCTGGGGTCAAAATTCCTATGTATGCTAATTCCTGGTCCTAAGGTTTTAAGATGGTAAAGATCCCTTGCCCCAGGAGATAACTGACAGACCCTGTCATCCTGGAACTCTACAACCCGGTGTCCTGTCTTATCTTACTCAAATGTGTCTTGCTTAAAATATATAGTTACTACCTTACTCTGTACTTTGAATGACCTTAAGTAACATTGAAAACTCTGAAATTTGTGGCCTACAACCTTATTGTTTGCACCCTTTAAAAGCTTCTCATTTTGGCTGGTTGGCATCTCTTTCCCCCATCATGGAGTGAGATCCAAGATGAACAGCTTGAACAATAACAGGAAACCTTTGCTTTTGCATCAGAGTTGTGGGCTCCTTTGGTTAGTCTCTGGGGCTCTTCGAACCTGGCACAACCCTGGGAGTGGCTTATGTCAATCCCAGGAAAGGAATCTACAGGATCATGCAAGATATGACACTTACTGTAACTGATTAAATTCAAATATTGCCAGGTGCTGGTGGCACACACCTATAATCCCTGTACTCAGGAGGCAGAGGCAGGCTGGTCTCTGTGAGTTCCAGATGAGCCTGATCTATAGAGCAAAGTGCCAGGACAGACTCCAAAGCTATACAGAGAAAATCTGTTTTGAAATAACAAAAATCATGCTTATATATTAAAATATGTATATCTTGAATTTTCTGAAGCATTCTAATTATGTTTCTTATTACCTCATTGCAAGACAGTAATTATGATGGATAACCCCAATGTTATATAAGACTAGAATGTATATGCATTTTAAAAATTATGGTTTTAAAAACATCAGCAACTTTGAAACTCAGAAAGCTATTATAGGCATTTCAACAGATGTGATGGGACAGTATTCTGGCACTTGGGTGTTACAAAATAATAAGTGTTACACAGCTCAGAAGGAAAGGTATCCTGGAGCTCTGGAGCCCAGGACAAACACAGGCTTAAGTAAGAGTAACAGCTTACAGTCCTGCCTCAAGCAAAGGCTTCCCCAGTGTACCCACTCTGCTCCAGCAGGAGAGGGTCTTCCAGCTGGGGATGTTTGCCCAGTATAACAGTTTTGATCCAGCAGGAGAAGGTTTCCAGGGCAAAGTTGCTACAGTTCAGCTCTGCTCCTGGGAGAGTAGAGAGCTGAGTGTAATAACTCTGCTCTGCCAGGGGAAGGTTTCCCCCTCAAAAGTGTTACAGCCCTGAAAGCTCTGGTCTGTCCGGGGTCGTCTCTGCTCTGTTGCAAAAGGTGTTCACCAAAAGCTCATTGAAGGGGTTTATTGGGAGGGAGGAATCCAGGAGAGTGGCTGCCCTCTGCCACAGTGGCAGAGGACAGCAGTGTAGAGTGAACAGCCACAAGCTGAACAGACACAGGGTTTATATAGGGCTTCCACGGTGGGGATTAGTCATATTTTAATCTCCTGCTCAGGGATTGGCTAGTTTTCTGCACAGGGTTAGGGTCAGATTTGGCTCTGGTTTTAGGGAATATATGATTAAATAAGCTCTGTAGCATATAATATATGACTTGTACATCATTAATTTTCTTAATCATTTTTGTAAGGTCATAATAAAGGTGAATAGATATACCACTTTCGAAGCAAAAGAAAAGAAACATTTATATATCATTTTCTTGATTATTTTTTGCATATACTGCTATATCAATGCAATGCCAGGGTGACTGGATGTGGAGTTGTCATGCCACTAATCAGTTGGACAGACATTTGTTTCCATACAACTATATCATCCTTATGTAGGAGTAAGTAGAACACATAAAGTAGTCAAGTAATCTGTACTGTAAATGACACCTTCATAGTTAAATATAATTTCTCAGCTGTTATACAGTTGTGCTTGATACAAACATAAAACATATAAACATTAGAATGGTGATTAGTAACTATATTTCTAAATCTAATTGTATGTACCAAATGTTCATTTGCAATTGTCATGGACTTTTAACTTGAAAGGATGGAAACTATAATAATCATGAATAATTACCAAGTATTAGATAAGAAATAAAAGGCACACAGTGTCTTAGGTGGCTAATATTCTATTACCTTTATATTTAAAAAGTTAGCATTCTAAAGATACTAAAATTTTACTTCAAATATCTAAATAAATGACAAATTTAAAATTCCTATAATTAACAGGAGATTATAACATTCAAATAGCAATAAAATGCAATATAAAATTAACTTCAATACTTGTCAAAAGTTTACAATACAATCCTAGACAATATATTATTTATTTCAATTTCTATTGAAAGCCAAAAGCCAAAAACTCTCTCAACTCAGTAAGCCTCTTCTCCCTTTACCCTCACCAATCCCAGTACTCAGGCTATCTGCTGAGAAATTGTTAAACTAGTTGGGCCTACCTCCTCCTTCTGGAAACTTTGATGGGTGCTTATGTGAGGATCTAGATTTAGATTTCTTCCCTTTTGCTCGGAGAAGATTTCTAGACCTTGAACGGGACTTGTCTGGCAGCTGCTGACTGGACATTGGTGACTTGGACTTGGATCGTTTGGTTGATGACAGTCTCCTGTTCAAATAATGAGAATGAGTTCCAGATTGTGAGTCGTCTGGAGAAGATCTGCTGTGAGATGTCGATTGGATCCTGGTAGTGGGAGTACAGTCTCTTTCACTGTAGCTCTGGGATTCATGGTTGTCTTCCTCGTATTGGTGTTGCGCTCCCTGGGCACAGTCAGGTTGAGTATACCGTGGGTCATCATTGTGCAACATTTGCACCTGTAGTTTGCAGCCATCCAGTAAAATCCCATTTAAGGCATCCATGGCATCCTTAGCGTCACGTTTGTTGAGGAAATGGATGAAGGCAAAGCAGTAACACTCTTTGGTTAAGTGATTTGGGGCGATGTATACATCACCAACAGGCCCTTAATCTTCAAATAAACACTTTAGGGTTCGGGATGAAGTGCAGTTTGCCAGGTTGTCTACCTAAAGCGAAGTCATTCCCTTCATATTAGGAAGAGGATGGCTGTAGCTCATGGTTCTTGATACCTTAGTCTTTGAAATGAGTAATTGCTAACAGAAAAGAAGAGCCCAAACGGCAGCGGCCATTTCCTTCCGTTTTGACCGTTAGGTTTCACTTCCATTCGCTCATGCTCACAGGTTCTAGAATGCTTCACTCAGCCCCGCCCATTCATAGAGCTAAAGTATTTGAAGAAAAAAAAACCCAGAGGAATATCACTGCATGCCAATTTAAGTTTAGAATTTAATGATTTATACTTTATGTAACTTTCAGCTTCCATTTTTTTTTTCTTTTTGGTTTTTGAGACAAGGTTTCTCTGTATTGTATTGGAGTCAGTCCTGGGACTCTCTCTGTAGACCAGGGTGATCTCGAAATCACAGAGATCCTCCTGCCTCTGCCTCCCGGGTGCTGGCATTAAAGGCGTATGCCGCAAACGCTTGGCCAATGTTTTTAATCATAAATTGGAATTATAATGTTGCTAATCTTTTTATTCTTTCCATTCAATAATCTATATAGCAACAATATAAAAGTAGAAGGGGATAAAGTATAAACCCCTTGAGCTACACGAGTGGCCAGACTCATCCCCTGAGGACCTCTAATTGCCAGGTTCTAGACACATGATACTCCAAGTGCCCTAACTGCTGGATCCTGTCTCCACCCTACAGAGTAAAAAGCCCCAGTCACTGGGCATGAAATCCTATCAATGTCTCCCCTGGAAAGCTCCACCATAATAAGTTCCACCCTCTTCCCAAGAAGCTGTATATAAGCCCTGAATTCTATTCAGTTTGCTTCTCTTTGTCACCCGAGCAAAGTCAGAAATTCTCCTTTTTTCCCCCTCAATAAATCTTTTGTATGAGATTTGTTTATGGTGTGAATTTGTGGTGTTCTTTGGCTCACAGGTGTCACGATACCTTTCTATCTGAGCAGTAATGCTTACACTGTGCATTAGAAAAGTATTTGTTCCAGAATAAAAATTATTGATTTATTCTGTCCAAACACTGGAAGACTACCTTTTGGAAATGGAGAAATGAGACAATAATACAAGCCTGACGGATATCTCAGCACTTTTTGGGAAAATGGAGTTAGCAAGAGAAGAAAGAATAAAAAGGATACTCTCAGCTAGAAGTATAAAAATGCACCAATCTCAACAGTGAGAGTTCATAGGTACACTGAGTAAGTCAGTCAGGGCTTGAAACTTCAGACACAAAAAATGCCTTGGTTATCTGTATAAGCAGATTTAGGATTTTGGCCTTGTGAAGAAAAGAGATGAAAAGTGAAAAGTTATGAAAGCAGACAGGCTTAGCAGTGAATTTGAAGGCAACTATCTCCCAAAAGTAACTTTGGTGTCTATATGTATATATCTCTTTATGGGGAGAGTTTCTCTCATGTTTTAAGGTTGTGTTTTTATTTATGTTTTTATGTACATGCCTGGGTAAGACTATGTGTACCACGTATGTGCAGAAGCCCAAGGAAGATAGTGAGTAGCAGACTACTTGGAACTGGAGTTACGGGTAGTTTTAAGCTGCCCAGTGGGGTGGTCTGGCTACTCTACCCAAGCCCTCTCTCAAGCACTAAGTACCCTTGACCACTGAGCAGTTTGTCCAGACCAATTTATAAAATTCACTTATGCCTTAAATAATATATTTTTAATGCAGTCCTCTTTGGATTCTAAAACAAGATTTTATGCTTAACAGAAGAGGTTTCTGCCCTTGATTTGGTAAGAAAAATATCTATTTATAACTAAAGTGTAGAATCAAACACTGACAACTTTTAAAGGGGTTGCTGACCATTTCCAACTTGCTTGTCTTAAAAGACATCAACATTTTGATTTTCAGGGTTCCAAAGATAATTTGCAATATGGAAGAAATCCACTATCTACCATGTAGGACACTAATTTATCAGTCTCTGAATAAAAATGCTTTTTATACTCCTTTTTTTCTTGCTTTCATTAATAAATTCACTTAAAATATGTTTGTTGGTGAGTAATCTATGCATTTATAAAACAAATGTAAAAAAAGACATGAACAATTCAAGTTAGTCATAAGGGAAAGATAAAAGTACCTTATCACCCATTTTTGCTTTTCTTGACTTCCTTTTTCCAATAAGAATTTTTAAAGGTCATTGTAAGCAACCTTTTCTTGAATCTACTATTTTAAAAAATTCAATATATTTCTTTAGAGAGGTTGCTATTGTAACTAACCTCTCTCTTGGGTATTGAAATTAGCACATTTGATATAGTAAATAGGTGAACACTGTTAGCTCTCGATTACATGAGTTAAATAATTCTCAAAGTCCATAAGCTTTCATTTTTATCAGTCACCCCTCTGAGAGATGAATGAGAGATTCTGTGACATTGGAGGAATATAAAGTCGACTTTCTTAGGCAAGAAGTAGAAGGACTTCTATATTGAAATAAAATATGACAAAGAAGAAAGAGAAACTAGTGAGGGAAATGAAAGGGAGAGAATACTGAAAAATATCTCAATTTATTCATTATTTCTTTTAATAGAAGAGGTTTTTTAGTAAAACTGATTTTATTCTGATGACTCCTATTATGAGAATTAGTGAGAATTTATACCTGAAGAACAAGGGTTTGAATAGGTATGGGGATTTTGCTTGTATTGTTTTGTTTCACTTGAGACAGTGTCATGATACATAGCCCAGACTGGCCTCAAACTCACCGAGATCTGGTAGTCTCTGTCACCTGAGTGTTGGGATAAAAGGTATGTTACCTCCCCCCTCCATTGGCTCAACAGACAGGAATCAATGGATCCTATTACTAATTTTGTAGCAATTTACATGTAGTATATACACAAGAAATTCATGAAGATTTTACAATTAAGAATAATGGAGACATTTACTCACAGGTATTCTGATGTTTTGCATTGTAATTAATTTTGAAAATAATCAAGTGATATAATTTACTGTGAATGTTTTAGAAGTCATATATTATGGCATCATTTAAAGAAAAAGCTCATGATATTTGTTAGAGATAATGAAGAATATTTATTATTAGGATGCAAAATACATAGACAAATGGAAATTTATAGCCAAGGAAATTGGCCAATAATTTAAGACTAATAGCAAACTATAGAGCAATGGGTCTTCTTGCAATTTAGGAAAATCAGTGTGATAGGAGTGTTGTTGAAAGGTCAAGTAGACAAAGTGCACAATGAGGTTGACAAACTAGTAATAGCAAATGTGGTCAGATATAAGGGCAAAGAGATAAGAATTTGATCAGCTGTATATATGTGTAGTAGTGTTCTTGATCAAATTGAACTAAAGATGGCAAAGTTCATAGTTAAGTTAAGTAGTAGACAGAACTATATATATATATATATATATATATATATATATATATATATGGATAGAAAATGATTCCAGTGTACTATTTGATGCTTTATGGGGACAAGGCATATGTTGAAGTGCTTATTTTTAAAGAACACATGAGTTTTTATTGTGGAGTTTTTATTGTGTCTTAGGCTAATGATTCACATAAATGGTTGAGTCTCAGTATCCCAATTAGCTAAAATTCTTTTAATCTTAATGTTGGGAGATGTGTTCTCGTGTTTTGGAGTACTTCGGAGATGCAACAAAACTTTGAAAATAACTTAAGGTTAGACTAAAATGTTTTTGTCAAATAGATTTGAGGTGAACAATCCAAAATTACTATCTATCTAAAGGTTTAGAAAGGCACATAGCTGAGTGAGGGACGAGTTAAGGTTAGAGATCAAAATCAAAGCAGCTCCATTATCATTAGATGTATTTAACGTGTTTAAAAATCACTTGGAAGAATCATTACTTTTCCATTGCTATAGCAAACATCATGACCAACACAACTTATTTTTTACTAATTACATTTGTTCATTTATTTTACATCCTGACCCCAGTTTCCCCTCCCTCCTCTCCAGTCACCTCCCTACTTCGGCTCCATTAATCTGCTCCTCCTTTGTTTCTGTATAGAAACGAACAGGTCTCTCATGGGTGTCAACAAAGCATGGCATGTCAAGTTGGGCTAATGCTAAGAGCCTCTTTATTTTTTTGTTTGTTTTGGTTTTTTGAGACGGGGTTTCTCTGTGGCTTTGGAGGCTGTCCTGGATCTAGCTCTTCTAGACCAGGTTGGTCTCGAACTCACAGAGATCAGCCTGCCTCTGCCTCCCAAGTGCTGGGATTAAAGGCATGTGCCACCAATGCCCAGTATGTAGCATGCTTTAAAACTTATTTTTATTTATGTATCCATTTACACAGCATTATGTTGTCTCCATTTCTGGCAATTGCAAATAATTCATAGGGACTTATTAAATAAAACATTTGGTACTCATGGATCCAGGGGGTTGGAATCTGAGACCAACATGGCAGAGAGCATTATAACAGTGAGGCAGGTCAGTAGCTTATACTTTACCTCTGTTCAAGCAATAGTTTCTGAGAGAAAAAGATAACTGGGAATGGCTTGTGCTTTTAAAACCACAAAGCCCACTCCCAGTGATGTAATGCCCAAGGTCACAACTCCTGATCCTTCTGAATATTTCTATTAACTGTGGGCCACACTTTCATACATATGAGCCTATAGGGGACATTCTCATTCAAACCATCACAGGAGTTGTTTACATGATTGTGATGCAGTCATTTTGTGGTGGGAATTTAATAGATATATGTTTAACATGATCCTATATGAAGTTGAAGAGGACACACACTTATATAGACATTGAGTATCAGAAAATGTTTGCTTTGGATTTAGTTAGGCATATCAAAATTGCAATCAAAACTTACTCATTCACGTATTTTGATGAATTGATGTCTCAATTTTCATATCTGTAAAATTAAAATAAATAATTTGATGACATTTTGTGGTAATTTAATAAAATATTGTTAAATAATGTGGGTACTAAATGAAATGCATAAATATGTGTTTATGTTATTACACAGACCAGATATGACAAATTCATTTAAAATGATAGCTGTTTTATTTTCACATAAAATATAAATACCTTTTATTTAGCCTACTATGTATTCTTTTC